TTCCTTCGAGCTGGTATTCATCGGGTCCGTCAGCCATGCTTTCATCTTCAGGCCATTCGCGCGACGGCAAGGGGGCATCAGCCTCCTGGGGTTCAGGAGACAGCGTACCCTGACGTTGAGCGGCATCAGCAGCCTCCTCATTGTCCGACAATGCGGCATCATCGAAGGCACCAGGCAGAACGCGCCGGCTGCGCCTGAACTCGAAAGTGTCGTCGGGATCAGAAGGGGAGGTCGAGTCCTTAACAATTGATGGGCTCGAGATTGCGCGGCGCGCCTGAACAGTCTCGATCTCGGTTTCGTCGTCTTCGTCATCATCGTCACCTAAACCGTAGGTTGTGAAATGCTCCACCGAGAACGTCCAAACACCGGTTTCCTTATCGTAGCTCTCAAAGGTCGTGTCGGGAATGGCGGTCTTGAGTCTCTCGATGTGACGCTCGAGGCGACGGCCGGTGGTCGCGAGACCACCACGAGGATACGAGTGCTCGAGAGAAATGACCGCAGGCACGTTCAGCCCCTTGCCGACTGGAGGCTTCTTTGCCGCGACAGGGTAAACGGTGGCAGAGCGGGGGACCAAGACGACAATGCCGTCGAATAGCTCATCGAGGTTGATGTTGCTTAGGTCAACGGGGGTTTTGAAGCTGACGCTGCCGACGTTCTCGCGGCCGACCGTAAAGTCGGGGACCCGCTGGCGCTGCACCCTGTTCATTGCACGAATTTCCTCAACGGTTGGCGACATCCAATAGCTGCCCGGTTCGATCGTGGAACCGAGCTTCTTTTCGGTCCGCACGGCCGCAGGTGACTCTTCCTCAGGGACAATGGCGAGTTCGTTGCCCTTGACCTGCTCCATCTCTGGGGCGGCAGTTGTGGGAGACGACTTGGCGCCATTCACGCCGTTGGTGCTAGGACGAGCGCTGGTGCTCGGCTTGGCTTGGCTCTGGTCATCAGTGCTGGGGCCGTTCTCTAGAGCGGCCGCCGGGCGGGTCTCCGGGGTGGTCTCAACTGTGCTCGTGTCGAAGCTGACGCGCTTTGCTAGCTTCCGTGACCCGTTGGCGTCTTCCGGGACCTGCTTTTCCTTGTTAGGCGAGGTGAACAAATCGCTCCGCATCTCCTTGTTGATAATCAACTTCTTGTGGTTGCCGGCGCCGCCGAGCAGACGCATGCTAGAGTTGGCAGAGAAAGCACCGGGCTGGAGAATGCTGTCCTCCACGTTAAAGCTTCGCCGCAGGTTACTAGCCGAGATGCTCTTGCTCAGGTTGCGGTTGATATTACCGGCAAGAAGGCTTTGTGAGAAGCCACCAGGGGTGCTGGAAACGCTCGACGGGCTGGCGGGAGAGCCATAGGCGCTGTATGAAAACCCATAGCCCCTCTTCTGCGGGGTGACAAGGCGCGAGGCGTTTGCCGGGCTGAGCTTGTACATAGGCAAAATCGACCTGCTCTTGACCTTGGATGTGCCAGAGAGGGGAGTGGCAAGGGGGCCGGGGTTTTGGATTTTGTCATCCGGCAGCCCAGAGAAGAGCGTCGCAGCTCCGTAAGCAGAGATGTCGTGAATACTCGCGTTGAAAGCCTGCTGAGGCGCTTGCTGACCCTGGGAAGCGCCGAGGAGCGAGCTGCCTAGCATTCCCTGCTGCGGCTGCTGCTGGTTGGTACTGGCGCCGAACATGCCGCCTTGCTGCTGCTGGGCGGGTTGATTGCCGAAAAGACCGCCTCCTGCCGGCGCTGAGTTGCCGAAGAGGGAGGGCTTGGCCTGTGTACTCTGGCCTAACCCGCCGAACAGGCCGCCTTGTGCAGGTTGTTGGGTTTGTGTATTGCCTCCAAGATTGCCGAAGAGACCGCCGCCGGTAGTACCTGTTTGGCCGGTCGTGCTACTGCCAAACAGGCCTCCACCGGTGCCTGCGGGCTTGTTGCCAAATAGGCCACCACCAGCTGCAGGCTGGGCCGTCGTGGCTCCGCCAAATCCAGACGTCGCCCCGGTGTTCGTACCGCCGAAGAGCCCGCCCGTCGTCCCAGTGGTTGTTGTCGAGCCGCCAAAGAGACCACCCGGCTTCGGTTGCTGCTGTTGCTGGTTACCAAACAGGCCACCTCCGGTGTTCTGAGTCTGCGCTCCAAACCCGGTGCCGCTACCGAAGCCTGTGCCGGCAGGTTGCTGCTGTTGCTGTTGCTGACCAAAAAGGCCGCCGCCAGTGGTGTTGGTTTGGGCTGTATTTCCAAACAAGCCGCCGCCACCGGTGTTGGTGGTAGTGGCGGTTTGCCCAAAGCCTGGTGTCGCGGTTGCTCCGCCGAATCCACTGCCGCCAGTGCCGGCGCCAGTGCCGAAGCTGAACCCCGTAGGCTTGGCTGCCGCTGTGTTGGTGTTTCCAAACAAACCCCCCCCCGTACTGCCCGTATTCGCTCCGAAGCCCGTGTTTGTCGTGGTGCCTCCACTCCCAAACGCGCCAGTGCCGCCTCCGCCAAAGATCCCACCAGTCTGTGCGGGTTGGGTGGTGGTGGTGTTTCCGAACATGCCTCCGGTTGCCGGTTTGCTGCCGAAAAGACCACCGCCGCCGGTGCCGAACCCGCCGGTCGTCGTGTTGTTGGTCGCACCGAAGCCGGTGGCTGCTGGTTGAGTGCTTCCGAACATGCCTGTTCCAGTGTTGGTTCCGAACCCAGTGCTGCCTGTGTTGCTACCGAAACCCGTCGTGCCGCCACCAAAGTTAGAACCGCCAAATGCCCCAGTACCGCCGGCACCACCTGTTTTTCTACCTTGGTTGTAGTCAGTCAACCTTAGTTCGTCAGCAGACCACTTCTTATACGCATCCATAAAGAGGAGGTTTTGGAAGGAGTTGCTTTGACTAGAGTTGTTTTGTTCTTTCTCTACTGTGGGAGAAAAGCCAACAATGGCCGTGCCAGGAGGGTCGCCAATGTTGGTCCCGATGCCGGGGTTGGTTGTGGCGCCGAAGCCTGTGGTGCCGGCTCCCGTGTTGCCAAAAAGGCCGCCGCCACCGGTGGTGCCACCGGTGCCGAAAGTCGATGTTCCCGCGCCAAAGCCAGTCGTCGCAGGCTTAGCACCAAAGAGGGACGTGGTGCTGCCGCCGCCAAAGGGTGTGGTGGTGGTAGTATTTGCGCCCCCAAAGCCGGTACCGAACCCCGTCCCGCCTGCTGTTGTTGTGGTAGCGCCACTGCCGAACAACCCCCCTCCCGCGCTAGTTGTGGCCGGTGTGCCAAAAGCTGGTTTGCTCCCGAAGCCGCCGCTACCGAAGCCGCCAGTGGTGCTCGCGCCAAACGCGCCGCCGGTGCCGCCGCCCCCAAACATGCCGGTGCCGGTGGTCCCTGTATTGGCTCCCGCACCAAAGCCAGGGGTCGCGGAAGAGGCGCCGAAGCCTAAAGTAGTTAGTTCGTCAATATCGCAGAGCAATTGTTCGGAGTCAAGATTCGTGATCGGGGAGGGCGGAAAGGAAGCGATGGAAATGGAGCGGTGACATACCTGAGTTTGTGCTTGTATTATTTGTCCCGAATCCACCAAAAGCGGAGGATTGAGTCTGATTATTCTGGCCGAAGCCAGTGCCGCTACCAAACCCAAATGACATGGTATGCGATGTCGAAGATGATGGGAATGGCGATGGGGATGGCGAGGATCTGGTGTCGCGATGTCGAGGATTTGTCGGGGATAGAAAAAAAGGCGCGAAGGCACTTCCGCCGATCGAGTCTGAAAACCCGAGTCGCAATTAAATGATTTTCGGAATTGGAAATGGGAAGCAAGATGTAAAGGTTGCCCAGGATTGATTGCTGCACTGATTGCGCAACAAGGGTGCTTGCGCTGGACAGCACCGCGTTCTTTCCCGTTAAAAAGATCGAGGGCGCGATGAGGCGAAGTTGGCAGTTCGAGAAAGTTGACTGCTCGCTCTGCCCTTGCCCAACCAGTCGGTCCAAGCTTCTTATTGATGGCCAATCAAATCACGCGACCCCAGAGCAGTGCGTGACCGCGAAAAAAACAGTGGCCGGGGCGTGAAGCTTCAGAGCACAGACCTAGGAGGCTCAACACAGCACAGGTTTTCACAGATTCACCAGCAGTTAGGTACTTTTGGGTTGGCTACCTAAAGAACATGGAAGGTGCGGTGGTGATTTCTCTCCTTGATGGGAACGAGGTATTTAACATATGAACAGCATTTCCGAACAGGACAACGCTGACATATCGAACCGTGACCCAAAGCGTCATGTGGTGTCGCAGTGGCTGCCTGAGGTTCAATTCAACGTTGTCATTGGCGTATCATCGTCGATGCTCGACAGCTGACTAAAATTCCAAGTCTGCCTTGCGACAAGGGCACAAATCAGATCCCTTTGCAAATGGCAAGCGCTGTGAACACATCAAACCTGAAAAATAAGGAGAGGAAAAGCTGCAAAGCAACGCGTTTAATTGGTCTTAAAGAGATGTTAGTCACACTTTTGGGGTATGTTGCCTGGAGCGATGACAAAATGCCCCTACCACACGAATCTGAGCCACGGGTATAAATCCCCCACCAGTGTTGATGGACTGTTCCTCGATGTTTCTCTCTTTCTAGCGAGTCATCCGAGGCTTGAGACGGATGTTTTAGTTGCTGGCTAGTCAGGAGTTGCCACCTACCTACAAAAATACCGGGTTTGACGGTGTTATGTTCCACAGAGCCCGATCAGACCAGTCTTGATCGGGAAACTTGAAGCACACTGGCATTCGAAGTTCCATCACTTGCTCTCACACAGAGATAAAAGGACCGGTAATTCAATAGTCAGAACCACAAGGTCGCGATACACAGTCAACGTGGCTCCAAGTTCACACCCGCCAAACTCAGTCGGTACCTATCTCGATCACTTGCACTCAAAAGGACTCGAAGGGGCCCGGAGTTTTGAATCGAGCTTCCCATTTTCCTCCCCTCCATGGGTCTATTTTCGACGGACCCAGCCTGCAAGTCCACAAAGTAACGATTCAGAAACTAGGTAACGTAGGTTGTAAAAAGTAAACGGTAGGAAGGGTTCTCAGGTCCAATCCACCAACACCAAAAAGGGGTCAAGAAGAAACATACAGCCTGCTTTCAGCAAGCCCCCAACACGCACATGCCCACACGCGCATGCACGACCTGCATCTATCCCATGCCCCGGCCAAGATTCTGCGCCGGCCTCAACTTCCTGGGCAGTTTACCGTCGTCGCCCACCGCCAACACTGTCTTTGTCCCCTCATCAATCTCCATCTACCACACCATCTCAGCCCTAGAACTGAATCAGATCTCCGCCCTGCTGGCCCTGCTGCCCTCCCCTGGCCGCGAATGGGTTGTTTGTCGACCCACCACCACCGCCACCCATGCCCATACCCATGCCGGCCGGGCCGGTAGCAGCCGGCATTTGTGGATGCTGCTGTTGCTGCTGGGGGTACGACACAGCTGGCATGCCGGTAAACTGCTGCTTCAGGAAGGGGTTGTTCCCCGTCGCCTCCGGGTTGATGCGGTTCAACCCGGCACCGGCGCTGTTGACAAACACGCCGGGAGCCGTGTGTTGCGCGGGGATGCGCAGGTTGCCCGTGTTGCCGAACGTGTCGAGGCCCTCGCCACCGGCCAGCAGTGCATTAAGCCGTGCCTCGTGCTCAGTGAGTTCCTTTTGTGGCTGCTGCAGCTGCTGTTGTTGTTGTGGTTGCTGCTGCTGCTGGAATTGCGGCTGGGGCTGTTGCATAGTGCTAAAGGGGGAAGAGGATTGCTGTTGTTGGGGCTGGAAGGTAGAAAGTGTCTTCTGCTCGGGGAGGCTACCGAGCGTGGTCATCGACGACTGGGATTTGTAGCCTGTTGATGGCCGTTGGGCAAAGGGGTTGTTCGAGCCAGTTGCGGTGGGCTTGAGCGATTGTGGGGTACTGTTCCCGGCCCAGGGGTTGTTGCTGCCGGGCTGGAGCCCAGGTTCTTGAGGTTGTGGCTGGAGGAACTGTTGCTGCTGCGGCTGTGGCTGCTGCTGTTGCTGTTGCTGCATGTAAGGGTTGTACCCGGTAGGTTGGGGTTGGAAGCTCTGCTGTTGCGGCATCTGAGGCATCTGCTGTTGCTGCTGACCAAAGGGGTCAAAAGCTGTCTGCTGCTGGGCAAATCCGTTGCTGTATCCGTTCGGGTACCCGGTCGCCTGCGGCTGGAACCCCGTATACGCGTTGTTCACGTATCCCGTAGGCTGGGGCTGCATCTGACTCTGGTCGATAGGGTTTGCGAAGAAATCGACGGCGCTCCCTTGCTGGTACCCCTGGTTGAAGCCGGTGAATTGCGGCTGGCTTGTCGACGCCGACGCGGGTTCGGGGTCAAACAGAGCATTTGCGTTAGTCTCCTCCAGCTCTCGCCGGCGCCTCTCCTCTTCCTCTTTGCTGAGTTTGATGGCCTTTGCAAGATCATCATCGTCATCGTCGACGTTTCGGCTCTCGCGCTTTCTCCTGTCTTCCTCCTCCTGGTGTTTGCTGGCCTCAATCGCCAAGCGGTACTCTGTGTCCTCTTCCTCATTAAACGGCCGGATCCGTTGGCGCGGGGGCTCCGGACGACTGCCTTGGTTATACTGGGGGGCGTACTCCTCCAGGCCATTAACACGGGACTTCCAGGTCTTCCTGTCGCTTCGCTCTGCCCGTAGTCGTTCCTCATCCAAGATCAAGGAGGTAAGCTCCTTGGCCGCAACGCGAACTGGATGAACAGGTTAGCCCCTCGCCTCCGACCCTTGACAATGAAAAACACCCACCATTCTGGCCAACGTCTCTGCCATCTTCATCAATGTATTGGAACTCGCGCAGGGTCTTGATAATGAAGATGTTTTGCTTGGCCCAGGTGACCACCAGCTCCGCCCCTTCGTGCAGGCAGTAGTCTGTGACCTTGAGCGCCTTTAAAACGTGCCGCCAGTTCTTGCCCTTATCATTGAGCCGCTTGTCGATCATATCCATGATTTCGTAGAACTCGGTTGATCTAGACGCCGAACGCGAACAGAGTCAGTGTCGTCGGCCTTGCGATGGGGCGCCACCCCGCACAACGCCCTCGTGCGTCCCACTTACGAGTTAAACGTCATCTGAGCGATCTCGCTCATCTGCGTCCCTGTTGGACCCCATGGATCATTGCTGGTCGCTACATTCCGGCGACGTCAGTACAAACCATCCCTCCGACTGCGAGATCGAGCCGCGGCACGGCGCAGCCGTCGTTGTGAAAGCTGACCCACCTTCGCGCACTTTGATTTGGACATTGGAGTAGCCCTTTGTGACATTTTTGACGCTTCGAATAACCTTCGACATCTTGGCGCCAGTAGGGGGACGAATAGGAACGTCGTGGTGGTTGTGATGTGTTGTGTTGCGTCTTGAAGGAGGGCGGACCGGTTATGTCGCAAGACCCAGATGAAGGTGTGTTGCGTGTCGGCGGCGGTCGGGGGCGGCTTGCCGTTTCGAGCTTGGCGGCCGTGACTTTGCTGTGTAGAAAGGCCGCGCGCCACTGAAGCTCGGGTTTCGCAGTTGGCGGGAGCGCAATGCGCCTTGTCAAAGGCCTCGGACAAAAGGCGCCAGGGGCAGAGCTGAGGATGGCGATGCGCAGGGTGTATGATGATGATGAATGTCGGAGGCTCCTTCTACTGCAGATTCGGTTTGAATGCGATGCAGGCTGGAAGTGGTCGGGACATGCGAGGCGAGAGGGGGGAAAGCTCGGCCGTCCCCAGAAATATCCTGGACCGCCGCGCAAGGGAACTTGCGTATTAAGTATTACGTGGATCGACACGGTCCGAATTACGGCTAGCAGATTTGGATCTTGTGTAGGTAATCTGGATGAGAAAGGAAAGGGGCAAAAGGCGATTGACGAGGGATGATTAGAGTTTTATTTCTCCGGTCTGGAATCGACCAAAACTATATTCATTATGTGCCTATCTTCTCGGGACCTCAGCTGAAAACTCAGCTCTGAGCATTGAATTGTTGAGAGGCCGCAGGCCAGGGGAGCGCGCTGATGATGACGATATTTCATACTGCGTAACCACGTAACCCCAGGCCGGTATCGCCAAGCCTTCCAGAAAGTGGCCACCGCAGCCCTAAGCCATTTTCGGGAGGCAACCCTCAGTGTACAGGGGCGACTCCGTGGAACAGAGCTTGCGCCCAGCCTGGCTGCGCTGGCACAGGGAATTGTGAGCGAAGCATGCAAAAGTGGAAGTGCCATGACGTAGATCTTCCACCCCATGGAAATTCAAATCTTTGGAAGCTCTGCACTTTGATCCAGAACACTGAGACATTCGTACAAAACCAACACCATGTATAAAAATCCAGAACTCAGGGCCAACAACGCCTTCTACCTGCCCAAGCCGTGCCTATCTGGAATACACTGAATACACTCGTATAAACAACACTCAATCCGGCACCGAACGACAAGAACCGCTGTTCAAGCAGTTAAGGTACATGCCACGGGGAAAAAGGAAAAGAAGCCCAAATGTCCTCCCGTCCCGAAAACGCAACGCCCCAGACCACCGAAGAACAACGCCGTGGTATCCCGCCTCCCAATAACTCGTTCCAAACCCGAACTCACACATCCACCTCGCCCTCAGCATCCTGCATCTCCACGTCCGTGTTCTCCTTTCCGGAGTCTTTCTCCTTTCCCTTCCCCTTTCCCTTCCCTTTCTGCGCCTGCCCACCGCCTTCTTCTAAGGTAGGCGATTGCACTTGCACCGAATCCGCGACGCCGTCACCTGTCCCCTTCTTGGACGCCGCTGCCACCACCGCCATCCTGGCGCGTTCAGCGAGCCACGCCGGCGGGAGACCTGGCCCACTAGCGGCGTTACCGTAATCGCTCTTTTTAGTTCCCTTCGGCCAACGGCCCGGTCCACGACCCGTGCCGCCCGGCTTCCGCTTGCTGTTGCTGGTGCTATTCCTGGGCCGCGACGACGTTGAACGGCGGGACGTGGTTGGGCGCCTGGGTTTCGGTCGGGGACCGCCGCTGCTGCCAGTCCGCACGGCCGGCGGTCGGGGAATAATTGAGCGAGTGCGGTCGGATCGGCGGCCGTTAATGGGCGGAACCACTTCGAACCGACTTGGAGGAACGTCTTTGTATTGGTCAATCCAGTTCGCCGCCGTGATTTTGACTGGCTCTGGATGAGCCTCGGTCTGCATTTTTTGTTCCGTAGAATTCCGGTCAGTGGCGACGCCGTCTGGGATGGTGCCGCCGTTGACACCGCTCCCTGTGTCCGTTTCCACTCGCTCAAGGGATTCAGTGGCCTCGGCCGGCTCGCTGGGCTCGGTCGATTGAAGGACAACGGGCTCGAGTGCAATCTTGGTTTCCTCGGCGGAGGTATCTGGCTGGTTGGGGGGGTCCGTCCCATTAACCAGCGGCTCCTCTGGCGGGACTGCCGGTTTCACCTCCTCTTCCTCTTCCCTTGGGGCGATGGCGTTCAAAGCCGGACCCAGCTCAAAGTTTGTCGCATTGCTTCTACCCATGACATACGGGGTCCATGTTAAGGCCTTTTCATTGAGCTGAACGTATTTCTTCGCCTCCCACTTCGCAACGTACTCCCGGTAATACTGCAAGTCCACCCGGAAGGCGTAAAGCTGCGTTTGCGGGTCCCGGACTAAGCACCTCAGCCCTTCCAAAGCTGAGATGACGTCGTCTGGCGTCAGCCCGGTGTCGTCTGAGATCTGCTTGATACCGAGGCCAATCTTCCCAGACTTCTCCTCGGAGAAACGCGCCAAGAGGTAGCGGCACATTATCAACCGCCAGTAATTCCTGTACGAAACCAAGCCCATGTCGGAGAGGGGCTTTTCCGGGGAGCCAGTCTTGTTCTCGACTCTGGTCAGGAGGTAGGAGAAGTCGATGAGAAGGTTGCCGTACCCTTTCCGTTGATGAATCGGGAGTGTAAGAATACAGGAAACGTTGTTTTGACTGCTAGCACGCTTCTCCTTTGAAAAGTATCCGACAAAGTGATAGCCCATGTCGTCGTACTCGCAGAGAACATAGAAGAGGAACGGCTCCACGTCGTAGTAGAGGGTCTTGGACCCGAGAAAAAGTTTCGCCAAGAGACACAGATTCTGGCAGTAGACCGGATTCTTGCGGCCGTCCACCTCAAAGACTGATACTGAGCCGTGCCGGTAGATTTCGTCTCCCGGGGGGTGCTTAGCTGGGCATTTGAGTTTATGGCGCCAAGCGACATAGTCCGAGTTCATGTACTTGAGGCAGAATTCGCAGATGTAGAGAACGCGATTCCTGCTATACTCTTCCGGGTAGGGTGCCGCATACCATGTGTCGATCTCCCAACCACCAAACTCGATGCACTCGATCTGGCTGGCAGGTCCTGATGCTTTCCTTGACTTCTTGGCGGGGGCTTCCACCTCGGCTTGCTTCTTGAGCAGCCGCTGTCGCCATTCCTCTTCCGCCTTTTGTTTGGCTTCGTCAAAGCGCCGGCGGTCATCATTTGTGGGCATTGTTTTCGACGTGTCGGCCTCAGCTTCCGTGAGGATTCCGCCATAAGGTTTACCTTTTAGCTCATCCGTTTCTTTGTCATAAAACGAGTAGAATGGTTGCGAATACGCGCTTGGTGTAAATGGTGTTGCAATTGCGGCCAGAGGCAGAGGCGCTGCACGCGTGGACTCGCTTCTTGAGGTTCGGCGCCGTGACCGGCCTGAGCGCTTCTTCGGCCCCTTTGGCGGCTGTGACAAAATCCGATGGAGCTCGGATGGATTTATCCGCAGATTCACCAAAATGACATTTGGTGTCCTCTCGGCGATAGATGCGGCCTGGTTCGGGATCTTCAGCCGCAGAGACCTCGAAACTGGCCTGGACGAGTCTTCCCGGCCTGTTGCTGTATCCTCGTTGCTTTGTTCATCGCCCGTGTTTCTACGCCGCCTGCGAAGGGCTATGATTCTTTCGTCGGGTTCGACCGAAGATGTTTTGCGTTTCCTAAGCACACGAGATCCATCCATGGGGTCTTCGTCGAGAACCAACTGGTTGAAGACAGAGTGAGAGTCAGGGTTGGTGGCCCCTTTCTGCGAGGGAAGCAAATCCCGCGCGACCTTTGGGGCGGTAGCGCGCTGAGCTGTGGAGGCACCAGCCCCATCCACCATCCCGTCCACGTCTGCGGGGGTATCTGAATCCGGGTCATTCGCACATCTGGGGCATCGCCAGGTGTCGGGTCCTGTTGTTGTGAGCAAAGGAGATGATGGAACCCTTAAGAAAGAAAACCTACCATCTTCGCTCTCAAGAGCATCATGCTCTCTTGCGCATTGTTGGTGGGCTGCATATGTTAGTCCTTCTAAACAAAGCGCTCGGGGGGGCAGGCAACTAACCGTTATCCCCACATTTGGTACAAGCAAGGAACACCTCAAACTCCTCGCCCGGGTCATGCTCCTCATCCTGTTTACAGAATATGCAATGACCAGCGGCGTTTTCAAACTCATCGTCTTCGGCGTCATCGTTATCGGCCCCTTCCCATTCCGCCTCCTCCTCCGATTCAGCATCACTGACGCTAGCCAAACTCGCCGAGTCATCGCCGCTGTCATCCTCGTCATCGGTTTCCCCGGGTCTAATCTTGACAGCGCCGACACCCTCGTCTTCGTCTTCTTCGCCGTCATCGCCGTCATCGCCGTCATGGTGGCCGTTTGTCATACTGATAGACCTCCGCTGTGGGCGGTGATTTCGGGTTACTAGCTCATCGTCCTCTTCACCCTCGGCATCCTCGTCGAAGGCATCGCCGTCTTCTTCTTCAGACTGACCACTGCCGCTGTGGTCATCGTCATGCTCCCCATGCCCATCGTCGTCTTCGTCATCGTACGCCTCTTTGTCGTCCTCTTCTTCCATATCCTCATCCCCGTCGCCATCTATGGACCCGGAGCCGACATCGATGTGACTTTGAGAAGCGACTGTATAGTCGTCGCCCATCTCCACGTCCCCATCGTCGTCACCCCCTTGCGCCAGCCCAGCTTCCCGCTCTGACTGCATGGCGCTTTGCTGCAGCTCCTCCTCCATCAGCCGCGCATCCGCCATCTTTGTATTTTTGTTTCCCAGCTCGGTATCTGGGATAGCGAGGCGCCGGCCACGACGTTTGGCGCGCCTCGTCAAGCGTCGCGGCAGCTGACGCCGCTCATAGCAAGTGGGTGCGAACACACGAGAAGAAGCGGCTCATGCCAAGAGCATAGCCTTTCGGAAAAAAATAAGTCGTGGTTTGGGAAGTCAGGCGGGCCGGGAAGGAGGTCTTGGGATCGCTCGGTGGTGTGTAGAGGACGAAAGGGGTGCGCGACGCGCCGATCACGGGCTGATATGATGTGGATTATCGATTTGAACGAAGTTTTGAGAGGAATGAAGGCAAAGACACGTAAATTCCCCAGTACTTTGGTGTTGGCCTCAATTAGAGGTATAAAATCGCCGGAAATGGTTTGTTTTGCGATGTTCGTTCGCCGTGTCGCAGTTGCCAGTCCGGTGAATGCGCTTGGTTGCAGCTGAGATGGAAGAAGATCTTAGTCATCACACATCATATGGAAATGATGCGTGTATCCAACATGTGCCCGTGCGTTCCTTAGCCTGGCGAGTCTCAACAGAGGAATGATCCACGTATGCCTGAGGCAGCTAATTTCAACCCAGCGGCTCGCCAATCTGGATGACATTCACGACGCTTGCAAGCAACAAGCTTCGGAGCTGCATTTCACTCAACTAGTGAACAAGGGCTTTGTGTACGCCACCAATTCCTCTCTCCCTTGGTATTTCAAAGCTAACACGACTGAATAGGCCGACAATACCGCTGCAATGATTCCCTTCGAGACGCTGCTTCCCTATGGGATCATCATCGCCGTAAGCCCCGCCGAGCTCCCGCACGAGTAGGCTCGGGTCGCTGACGGGTAATAGATGTTTGGCGTGACGGGCGCCGGGATGAACAAGATCAAGAACATGCAGAGCGGTGGCAAAAGACACAGATGGTCGCTTGATCAGTGGGATAAGGTAGGTCCATGTCATGGTGGAAGGAGTCGCTGGAAGAGTAAATTGCTAATTATTTGACAGCAAAGTACGATCAACTCCCCGCGGCTCAGACGAATACCCCACCGTGCAATATTCTGACAGCCGTTTTTAGTGATGGATCGCGACAGGAGGCTCACCGGATACTTGCGGGGGCAAACAGACAACCCCATAGCGCCGCCTGGGTTCGAGTTGAACAACCCCTGGAGGGTAAGTCATTTAGCGCAGCAATCCAGGCGATGTAGAAGCTCATACATCACAGGTCGAGAGGAGGATGTCATAAAACAACGAAGTCATCACACCCGCGGCAGACAAATGAGGGATTACTCAGGAGAAAGCCGAGTGCACCCATACATAGACACTACAGCCGTCAATTCCGTACCATTCACCAGCATCTCCTTGTACAGACCCCTATATTTGGATTTGAGCCCGGTTCTTATTCAAACCTTCGAGGAGAATGCACGCCTGGCAGATGTCCTGACTCGACATGTAGCCGCAGCGGCTGCAGTTACCACGGACCTGCCGAGGCGCACTCTTCGAGGTTCCGTTACCGCTCCTTATTGGAAGCTCCTTGTGTTTCTTAGCACCGTTGTTCTTGCTCTCGGACATGACCATCGCGACATCAACCTCAAGCCCTTCGTGCGCTTCGTTCTCCCTTAGCTGCTTGTCCATAGCAGCCATCTCGTTGCCTGATGTACGCCCCTTCTGTGAGCCGCATCCACCAATGTCGTCCTCTGCTGGTACCATAGGCGATGTTTTGTTCCCTTTGCAAGCGCAGGACGACGGCGACTCTCCCGGGACCAGCCTTGCCATGTCCTCGCCACTTCGAACAATGTCGAGAATGGCTGTCGGACGTACCCTCTCCAACTGCTTGATGAGACTCCTGGCGCTGCCACGGAACGCCTCGGGGCTGTATATGCACTCTGTGCTAAAATAGTCGAGCTTCTTATGATGGGCGTATAGCACGATTTCCTTTTCGTACGAGTACTTAAGGGGCTTGCTTCTCTTCACTTCGGACCGGTCGTCTCCTGTCACGATACTTGTGCTTCGTGAGAGACGCGCCAGGTCCCCTCGGAGCAGGTTCATGAGGACGGTCTCAGCGACATCGTCGGCGTTGTGGCCTGTCACGACGTGTTTAATTCCGAGCATCTTTGCGCCGCGATCAAGTGCCTGCCGGCGGAAGACGCCGCAATATGTGCAGTTGCCCTTCTTGCCGATCGTCTCGACAACTTGGTCCATGGTCCAGCCGTACAGCTCATCATATCCGACCACTGTGAGAGGCATATCGTATTGGACGGCATTTCGCTTAACCGTTTCTAGCGAGTCATCACGGTACCCCTTGATCCCTTCATCTATGCTCAAGAGAACAAGATCTAAACCATACTCGTGCCGCTCATTCAATGTCTTCAAGACTGAGGCCAGAACTGTCGAGTCCTTGCCGCCAGACGCTCCTATTGCCACCTTCTCTCCGGGTTGAAATAGCTGTGATGAGGTGATGGTGTGGTGAACTTCATCCTCGAAGATAGTGATAAAGCAGACCTTGCAGAGCTTAGCGTGGTTCTTGGGCCGTTTGATCAGCGCTCGCTCCGTTTTGCAGTTGACACAAAGTGCGGGCGCCATAACAGGGGATAGGAAAGGTAGTGAAAACGGCGGGTGATTTGATGGTGATATCCGGCTATTCTGAGGCGTTCTTGGTGTATCGTATCAAAAAAAGTTGGTTCTGAAATCCCACCTTTGACTCAAAGCTCAGGTGTCTCGAAACTGGCTGGCCTGGGCGAGTGGGGGTGTGAACAAGAAAGTTGCGCCCCACTCAACTCACACTCGTTCCGAGGATTCCCCGCCATGCCCTGTTGGTCCGAGCTTTCCGGAAATCCACAACCTCTTTTTCTTGTGTGCAGCACCACCAAAAATTTCCCTTGCCAGAATTCTTCTCGACAACCCGGTTTTGAGCATCGCCCAACGACAAAATGGTAAGCACCCGCTGACGATAACACCACACGCAAGGCATCTTACGATGCATACTTGCAACATGCTCTCAACGATCTTTCGAGATCCGCGAGTTACATGAATTTCCGCTTGCTGGTTGCAAAACCGCGGGTGATGAATGGCTTGAGCTGGCTCGTGATGCGCGGAAACGCCATCCAGCCTCTCTTTAGAGTTCAGAAGATCACAGTCAATGTAAAACATTTGCTGATGTCTTCTCCTCAATGATAGCCTCCTACGAAGTCTGGTAAGAAGGCCGCCCCGGCCCCTTTCCCTCAGGGAAAGGCGGGTTCCAAGAAGGCCCCCAAGGTGAGTTGCTTCCCAATAATAACCCCTCCCGACCCCCAATTGCATGTGCTGACATTCCTCTAGAACCCGCTTCTCGAGAAGCGGCCCCGGAACTTCGGTATCGGCCAGGCCATCCAGCCCAAGCGCAACCTGTCGCGCATGGTTAAGTGGCCCGAGTATGTCCGCCTCCAGCGCCAGAAGAAGATCCTCAACATGCGCCTGAAGGTGCCTCCTGCGATCGCCCAGTTCCAGCAGGTCCTCGACAAGAACACCGCCGCCCAGGCTTTCAAGCTCCTAAACAAGTACCGCCCTGAGACCAAGACGGACAAGAAGGAGCGTCTCCTCAAGGAGGCCACCGCCATCAAGGAGGGCAAGAAGAAGGAGGACGTCAGCAAGAAGCCCTACGTCGTCAAGTACGGCCTCAACCACGTTGTCGGCCTGATCGAGAACAAGAAGGCCTCGCTCGTCCTCATTCCCAACGATGTTGACCCCATTGAGCTCGTCATCTTCCTGCCCGCGCTCTGCCGCAAGATGGGCATCCCCTATGCCATCATCAAGGGCAAGGCCAGGCTCGGCACCGTCGTCCACAAGAAGGTAGGCTTATTGCGATCGTTTTATTTAAACAGGGCTAGTGTTAACGTCATCTGTAGACTGCTGCTGTTCTCGCCATCACCGAGGTTCGCTCCGAGGACAAGAACGAGCTCTCCAAGCTCGTCTCTGCCATCAAGGAGGGCTACGTCGAGAAGCACGAGGATGCTCGCAAGAAGTGGGGTGGTGGCATCATGGGCTACAAGGCCCAGAAGCGCATCGAGAAGCGCCAGAAGGCCATCGAGACCGCGGTCAAGGTTTAATGAAGCATTTCAATGGTCGGATGGGCGGTACTGCACTTACGAATGGCGTACGGGAATACCAAAACCAGATCAGGGTGAAATAAACTGCTTGCCTCGGCCACATATAACGGGCGTTGATACCAGGTTTTGTTTTTCTTTTCGGGTCGGGTCGGGACAGCTGAATGAATGCGATGGATACTCCCAGATGCACATCTTCAGAATCCCATGTGTTGTGACCAACTGTCTTCCGGATCTGGCTCTTAATCTCCGACCTCGATTGTGGCGGGAGCCTACCCCAGGTTTTGGGTTTGGTCCCCAATTCCTCCAGCATAACGCGGGGAAGCATTGGAGATTGCCGCTACCAGGCAAGACAGTTGGAGGTTGCATCAAAGGGCAAGCCGAGTTTAATCTTGACGATGCCCGGACATTATCATGCGACACAAGTGAAGGATCGACAGCACGGGTCTGCGGCACTTGATCCGAGGAGACGGATAAATTTTACCTAGGTATCTTAACGCTACCTATCACCTCCAACAAGATTGGCCCAAAGTTCATTCATCGTGTCGTTGCAATGCCGCCTCTTGACTGATTCATCACCTCCCGCCGATTGTGTCGAAAATCCACGATGCTCAGTTTTTGTAGCAATTCCCACCGACAAGTATGTCCAAGTAAGCAAACCGAAAGCGAGGGATGGCAAGCATTATCTGATCCGTGTCCAGCCGTTCCGATCACCCCGGAAGGCCCCCATGTTTTTTGCATGTCAGATCTGGTTCGAAAGTGAAGCGGACGTCTGCGTTTCATGCGGAGCTACGGACTTGAGACGAGGGGTATGCCCTCCCGTTTGGGTTTGACAACAGCCTGTCACACAGGCCTCCAAGAGACCCGAGTCCCAAACCCTCGGGGAAGGGATGGATATGTCTGGCCAAGGTCGCACATACGCGGGCATTGAAAATGTTTATGAGGACCGCAAGGCCGCTCTTTTCGGGTTGCCGATCTCAGTCTCTCTTTCCCATCTGAACTCGAGTAGTTCTGCCCCCTTGTCGGTACCACACACTGTCGCCGCTGGTCGCAACACCAACCCCCACGCAGTTTCCCCCGCGATCACGACTCCCTTGCTCAACAAACCCCGGCAGTCCCCGCTTTCCCCAGCTCCTGAGAGGCTTACGTGCTCGCTTCCCCCCATCTTTTAAGCTCATTAATCTTCCTTGGCACGTTGGGACGTGGGTGGTCACTCGATCCGGCCCATCCCGCGGCGCGCGCTGACACTTCTGAGACGAGAGTGGCTTGGTGTATAAGCCGTTTCGGGGAAGGACCGCATCCCCACGGGCAAACGTGCTTAGCAGCCCAGCCCAGTGCTCGGGTCCTACGAACGAGGCCGAAATCGCTTGTCTTGTTGTTTTAAAGACTGGGAGCTGTCCCGGGGTTCCCTCCCCTCACATTCCTATTTGGTTTCCTAGTTTTGCTCGACTCTCCTGTTGTTGGCGGTGAGATAGGGATACCCAAACGACATGGCGCACGGTAAGTTTTCATTGCAATCATCGCAAAAAGAAACACCTTGTTGACTGACGACACCCCCCCGAAGCAGAAGATAGTTTCCTCTATGCCTTGAGCTCGAATAACGCCTGGGCGGGCTACAAAGCGCACCAGAACCCCAACTTCTTCCCCAAGCTCGCAAGCGGGCAATCCCCCCAGATCCGTAAGCTCTTTCCTTCTCCCTCCCTACCTACCTTTCCAACTTTCCAACTCTCCAACTCCCCAACTCTACCAACCCCAAAACAAACCCACACTAACCCCCCCACCACCCAGTCTGGCTCGGCTGCTCCGACTCTCGCTGCCCGGAAACCACCATCCTAGGCCTACAGCCGGGCGACGTGTTCGTGCACCGCAACATCGCTAATATCGTATCCGCGACGGACATCAACACGTCGGCGGTGATCGAGTTCGCCGTCGCCCACCTGCGCGTCGCCCACATCGTGCTGTGCGGCCACTCGGGCTGCGGCGGCGCCATCGCCGCCCTCGGGGGCGCCCGTCTGGGCGGCGTCCTGGATACGTGGCTGACGCCGCTGCGCGCCGTGCACCGCGCCCATGCGGAGGAGCTGGACGCGATCAAGGATGAGAAGGCCAGGGCGGTGAGGGTGGCCGAGTTGAATGTGCAGGCGGGGGTGGAGGTGTTGATGGCGAATGGGGTGGTGCAGGATGCGGTGCGCGAGAGGGGGCTCGAGGTGCATGGGTGTTTGTTTGATATTGGGAGTGGGAGGGTGAGGGATTTGGGGGTGGGAACTAATAAGGGGGGCGTCAGGGCCGGTGGGAGTGGGGAGGAGGTTAGGGGACGGCATGCGCAGTTGGTGTTTAGGGGCGGGAATGCATCGATGGCGGTGCGGTGAGCTCCGAGCTTTTTTTTTTTTTTTGTCTGGCTGGGTGGTTGCTAGTGAACTTTGCGTCTTGGGTGGCTGGGTGGTATGGTTTGTTCGTCCGGATGACTGCTGGAATGTCAGTCTTTTTATGTCAATGTGACGATGGTTGATCGGAATATCTTAAACATGACATTTTTCAACAAATGGAACTGTCGCTCCATATCCAATCTTCTATGAAAAGTGCCACGGCAGTGTATCATTCAAACAACATGGAGTGCAACCCAACCTCGCTGTACTCTTCGGGAATGATAAAGGCTGGGGTTTCCGTAATCCACCAGTTAGTTCTGTTTCCATCAATTTCGTGTCTTGAGGATATCTTTAAGGGCGACATTCCCCCTTATTTTACCAAAGAAGTTCTGCTAATATTAGGAAGAACGTGGAGGCAACACATTCTTACTCTCCGTTAAATCATTCATGTTCAGCCCCGAGCACACCAAGCGGACACAGGCGGCGGCATCGTTCGATGGGAGATGATGGTAGCCACTAGCAACGGCTCAACAACAGCCCACCATGCGATTTACATGGGAGATTGGCAGTATCCAGACCCTGATTGAGCATCAGAAGATAGCAAATTCACCGATAAACTGCCGGCTCCCTCACTGTCGTCGATTGCTGGCAAACTCAGTGAGAGCGGATAGCTAGGATGGCTCTGGATGTGGTATCGCGATCTAGTCGGGGTTGTGGTTATCTTGACAAGTTCAATGGAGGAGCCATCATCCGCCCTCGGGTAGGTACGATGTCCGAATCACCCCGCTGTCCCCGGCCAGCAACGGCCTTGGCATGGTGATCCCGCCCACCCGGCTCCGAACCCGGAGGCGGCCCCTCCAGTTGGACCTCGGGTCTCGCCCGGACTTAGGTATAACACATTGCATCTGCTTTACATAGTATTAATTTCATCTGAAAGGTCACAGACAGCATCCCCTTTATTTTAGCAGTAACCGCAACAATGACGCTCACAGTCCTCACCGACGACCAGATCCGGTCCCTCCTCGAGAACCTCACCGTCGACGAGTTGGATGGCTTCCAGAACGCTCTTATCTCGGCCCTGCACGAGCACTCGGCCGGCGCAGAGAGCGAGTCTGCTATCCACCAGCCTGAGCGCGTCTCCATCCACAGCCCCGCAACCGGCTGCACCACCTTGTTTATGCCGTCCGCCAATTCCACCGGCAACGCCGTCAAAGGTACCCCCCCTTCTACCCCATCCCTCTTCCCCCCAAATATCATCACTAACCCCCCCTCCCAAACCCACAGCGAAAACAAAGACCGCCACCCGAAAAACAAGAGAAGGAACCACCAAGACAAAAATATGCCATTAAAACCACGACATGATCACCAGGGGGAGCGGCGCACTGCGATCGCCAAACAGAGAGAGATAGGAGTACTTTACGTGCCCGCCGCCCAGCGCGCTTCGGACAGGGCAGAGCCCGGCTGAGCGTTGTGAGGCGTCTGAGCTGGCTCGCTGGTCCGTCCTGGTCACGGTTGAGTGACAGACAGCAGGGCCCAACAGCGATTTGTGTTTCGTTGCTGACTGGATCCGGGCGTAAAGGTGGAAGGAGGTGTTTTTTTTGTTTGCTAGGAAGGTCGATGTGACGGCTGA